GGTCCCTTTAAGCACAGCACTCGGCTAGCCTGAGACAGCAGCTGCACGCTCTAAGTCCTCATCTGATGCCCTGCCGGCACTGCTTCCGGCCAGCCTTAACCTCGGTTCAGGGTCCACTCAATGTGGACGTGCTAGTTTGAATTAGCAAAATGCTAATTCGAACTAGTTTTTAGGTCTAGATGCACTAGTTCGAATTAACTAATTCGAATTAAGTTAGTTCGAATTAGTGCTGTGGTGTAGACATACCCTCGATTAGCTAGTATGACTGAAAAGTACACCCTTTGTGAAAATCAAGAGGGGCCTTAATGTCCTGTCGTGCACATGTGTGACAGCAAGGAAGAACCAACAACTGGTACTGGCCCTTTCTCTTCTCCATCTACCCCTCCTCTGGCTCCTGAGGTCTGGAAGCTTACTTTATTCTCTTTTCAGAGGGATCAGGAAGGGCCTAGGGGGTCAGGAGCCAGCCCTCGAGACAGCTGGTCTTTCTTAGGAAGGAGGTGATTTACCAGGGAGCAGCACCACAGGTTTTTAGGGGATAGGGCAATGAATCCAGGCAACTGAGTTGGGGCTTGTTCTGGAGAGGCATATGGATGACTGATTGGCATGGGGACAGACAGAAGGAGGGCTGAGAAGTGAGGCTGGAAAGGATAATACTGGACTGGAGAAGTAGATGGTTTTAGGACAGGAAGGAAAGAAGGGTGTTCCATGTTCAAGGGAAAGGATGAGTATGTTGAGGACTAGGGCAAAATTTTGGTGAATTTCAATCTTTGCTTTTCCCTCATGAAAACTCTCTTCATCCTTCACTTCCTGTGCCAGCCTGAAGAGTACCTGAGCCCAATGGCTTCCTCATCAGCAGCTTACCTTCATGAAGGAGAAAGAGATTCATCAATCCCCACAAGAGGAGAAAGGCTCTTCCACCCCACGCTATATATATGCTATGTTGGAACTGGTTTTGTGCATACTTGCAAGTTTATTTTTGTTGAGCTAGGGCTGGAGGTTTTGCATAATGTGTCCATTTCATCATTTTACATATCACACTATCATATTTAGATTTTTAAATTAAGCAATTTTCTCCACAGAAGAAGTTGTTTGAATTGTTCTCTCATTTCAAACAGCACAAAGATCTGAGGTTCTCTGAGCTATAGAGTAGGTTTATGTCTATCTCTATTCAACGTCACGATTGCTTTCGAAGACTACCTTAAAGAGTACAATAGCTTACTTTTCAGCATTAAGAAAAAAGGTTGTTAAAAGCCAACCTACTCTTACAAGGGCTCATTAGAGCAAAGTGAAAGTAAATACTCTATGAGGCAGATTTAAACAAGAGATATCTATCCTCTTTACCTTGCAATTTTTCCACCAGTATTTTCTCTTCAGTTTGGCTGCACTGGTTTCAAACTGTGAGGCACCAGCTTGTAATGCATCTGCCCGGTTGTCAAGCTCTGAAAGTTTTTGGTCTCTTTCTAGAACCTTGTCTACATTCACTCGCATGATGTCCACCACCAGAAAAGATAATCCTCGGTTAGCACACTTCATACATGGAAAGTCTGTATTCACAGGAAATGCTCTTTTAGGAGGTGAAGGAAAAAAATTACAGCTTGCTGTTACATAGACAATTCCTCTGTTACAGGGCTACTTAAACTTATCCTGGGAGTCCTAGGTAGACAGTCAGGTGAACATAATCATGCTGAGCTCAAGTGTCTTTACAGACTATACAATACTGTGATGTTAAAATGTACACTAGTTCTTTCCATGAAGTTTTTTTAGAGAAACATGCACTGGTGCTTTAACCCCATTAGCTCCTTCACTATTGTTAGAGGAAACAGGCTGGCTAGCAGACACTAGCACATTTGCAATATGTGCAAGCTAATTCTGAGTGCTGGTTAGGGACACAAGTCTAAGCTTTTGTTTTTGCAGTTGATAACTTACAATAGGGAAACTCTATTATAACTATAGAAGTTGGCTTGATAAGAATTTATAATAGAAGTTACCACAATTTATCAGCTCCTACTCATGCAAGATGATCCCCTAACCATAGTGTGAAATCCTGTTTGGTATTGGAGGACGGAAGGACATTTTACACAGAAAAACTCCAGTCATTGTTAATTTCACTATGGCCTTGATGCTCAAACATCATAGATCAGAAGAGACATACAGAAAGTCCTGGGAGAAGCAGAGTAATTCAATTTTTGCATGCAAATTGAAATATATTTACTTTGATTTTAAGCATTACCGTAAAATCTCAAGGAAAATGTGCATTTTCCCCCCCATTTTTTAGGGTCAAAGCCAGGGTACGCATGCTACATAGGAGATTTTCTGTTAGGCTGTGTCTAGACTGGCCAGTTTTTCCACAAAATCATCTGCTTTTGTGGAAAAACTTGCCAACTGTCTACACTGGACGCTTGAATTTCTGCAAAAGCACTGACTCATGTAAGATTGTCACTGCTTTTGCAGAAATACTACACTGCTCCCGTTCGGGCAAAAGTCTTTTTCTGAAAAACTTTTGCACAAAAGGGCCAGTGTAGACAGCAGAGATTTATTTTCCGCAAAAAAGCCCCAATCGTGAAAATGGCGATTGGGGCTTTTTTGCGGAAAAGCGCGTCTAGATTGGCCACGG